TCGAGTGGGTCGTGATGGACGGTCAGTATGGTCATCTGATCTTGGAACCAGCCTAAGCTCCTTCCCGGACTTACTCGGCTCGATCCGGTAAACAGCTCGGTTGGTCTGATTGGCATGGCTGAATGGCTGAACCTCAGTTGGACTGATCTGATCGTCCTGAGTCTGTTCCAAGTCCTGGTCCAGGTCCTGGGTTCCATCACATGGCTTCGACTCCGTATGCAAGAGAAAAGGGGGTTGATTTAGTCGCTCCCCTTGGTGTCGTACGATGGCTCCATAGGACACCGTCTAGTTCGTCGGCCCAGTGTCCTTTTTTGAGGTCCAGACGCTTTTTGATGCCATCGACGATGAGCTTGTTAGAGGACTCGGCTTGACCGTTCCCTTGCGGATATCTGGGTTAAGAGCGGCTATGCGACCAGTTAGCCGCTGGACTTCGCGGCTGTTCTTAGGACTTGGGAGATCGAGCACAGCTGATATTTACTTTGGGTTGGCTTCAATCCCTCGCTGGGTAACGATGTAGCCTAGAAACTCGCCGGAGGAGACTCCGAAAGTACACTTCGCTGGGTTCAGCTTCATCCCATACTTGTTTAGTGTTTCGAAGCAGTCGCGTAAATGGTTAAGGTGATATTTGGCATGAAGCGACTTGACGAGCATATCGTCGATGTAAACTTCCATGGTGCTACCGAGTTTATCGGCGAACATGCGGTTGACGAGTCGCTGGTAGGTAGCACCGGCATTCTTCAACCCGAATGGCATGACTTTATAACAGTATGTTCCTCGGTCTGTGATGAACGCTGTCTTCTCGCGATCATCGGGGTGCATCATGATTTGGTTGTAGCCCGAGAACGCATCCATGAAGGTGAGCATCTCGTTTCCTGCGGTTGATTCTACGAGACGGTCGACGCTGGGTAATGGGTAACTATCCTTCGGGCAAGCTTTGTTAAGATCGGTAAAGTCGACGCAGACGCGCCATTTCCCGTTCTTTTTCTTGACTACCACAGGATTTGCTAGCCATTCCGGGTAACGAACTTCTGTGATTGAGCCAGCTCCGAGTAGTCGTTCGACTTCCTCGTTCACTGCTTTCGCTCTTTCCGGGCCCAGCTTACGTCTTTTCTGGCGGATAGGCTTGAAAGTGGGGTCGATGTTGAGCTCGTGGGTAGTTATTACTGGATCAATTCCTTTCATGTCCGTCATAGACCAAGCGAAGGTGAAAACATTTTCCTTCAGGAATGTGAGCAATGCTCGCTGCATATCGTCGGCTAGATGTGCACCGACGCGCACCGTCTTACTTGGATCGGAATCGTCTATAGGCATCTCCAGAACCTCGTCTTTCTGAGGGAAGGTTCGAGCGATCGGATGAAAGACAGAGTTAACTAGGGATGATGAACGTTGCAGCTTGACTGTGGCGATTAGCAGGTCTCGAGCGCTTGCTGATCTCCGTGGACGGTCTTGATTGTCCCGTCTACTCCAGGGAACTTGATGCATTGGTGGTAGGTTGATGGAACTGCTTGCATCGAATGTATCCATGGGGTTCCGAGAATGACATGATAAGGGGCTTTAGTGTTTACCACGGCGAATTTAACCGTTCGAGTAACTCCGCATGCGCGGACTGGGAGACGGATCGTCCCTAGGATGGTTTCCGATGAGGCCGTTGAAGCCGGTCAAGGTTCGTGAGGATGATTTGACGTCGTCGAAATCTACCCCCATCTTCTCAAGCGTATCACGAAAGATGAGGTCAACTGAGCTTCCTGTGTCGACTAGTACTTTGGTTACATCGTACTTACCTATCTCAAGGACGACTAGCAAAGGATCGTTGTGGGGCAAGTGGACTCCGTTCAAATCTTCGGGGGAAAAGCTGATTGGCGTGTGGCTCGGTGGCTTCGTAGGCCAGCGTCTCGAAGACGCGGCTTGGCGCCGGTAGTCTTTGAAGGAGCGGACAGAGTCGCCACAAGAAGGTGATCCACCCATGATGACGTTCAGCCGTGGTTTCGCGACTACTCGTTTGGTATCTAAGAATGTACGAAGATCCGCAGGGACGTTCTCGTCGCTCGGCTTTGACGAGTCCACGGTATGGGACGGAGTTGACTGCTCTAGCCGTTGATTTATTGATTTGGAACGGTTTAGTCGCGCGCGTAAATTGGTCAGGTTAGCGTTGAGTTTGTCGCGCAGATCGGTGACAGGCTTGTCGACCGACAAGGGAGGCTCCTTGGTTTCCAGGCGTCGCGACTTGTTGGCTTGGAGCATGAGGCGGAGGTCTCTGCTGTTGACGTCACTGCATGTCGTCTCCTTTCGCTTTAGGAAGTTCCGCAGGTCGCTTGATACCGGCGAGTTATCGTCCTCGTCGTCAGATGACAAAGGTTGCTGAGATCGTATTACCTCGATACGTTGACGACTCGCTGGTTGCCCCTCGTCTGCTGAAGATGCTTCGTTGTCTGCGTCGACCGAAGGTTTGTCGTCCGGACGGCGTTGTTCTCTGTTTTTACCACCGGACTTCCGCTGCGCGCGTTTGTCCTTGTTCTTAGACCAACTCTTGCCGGATTTTGGTTTTTGCTTTGGGGGCTGAATCTTGAAGTCGCCTTTTTCAACCGATGAGAGGAATTCAGCGTACATCGTTCTACACTCGGTTGTATCGTGTCCTTTGACGTCATGGTACTTACAGTGTTTGGTGAGGTCGACTCCATTAGAAGATCCGGCTCCTGAGGTAGCCCGCGAAGCTGGTTGAGTCGGTCTGGCAGGACTAGCCAAACCTTTCAGAGCCGCCGTCTCTCGGTTGTACACGTTCCATGTCGCCGCGTACTGAGAAACTTGCGACTGGTGTTGTTCTCGTCGACAACAAACAGAAGCCCGCTCTTTTGTTGTTTCTTGTCGCCGGAAGCGTGCTGAAGCGGCTCCGGCTTCGTGTCAGAGGTCTTGGGTGTTGTCGGCTTTGCTGCGCTATGTTTGCCCATGTTTGCTTTCGTGTCTTCCTCCATGCGGATGAAGTTGTGTGAACGAGCTATGGCATCCTGGAGCGTCGTGGAGGTGCTTCGGTATAGGTCCTCTCGGAATTTGGAATCGAGATGGAGATGTGCTCAGGGATGTCGATCTTTGAGACGATCGACTTGAAGTGCTCCATAAAGTCTCGGAGACTTTGGTCTTTAGTCTGCTTTAGGTTCCACAAGATGGAGGTTGTCGCTTCGGCTTAGTGAACATGATGTAGGTTTTGAGGAAAGCCGACGAAAGCTCTCTGAAGCTGCTGATGGAGTTCTCCTTGAGGCCTGAGAACCAGGTCAAGGCTTGGTCGTGGAGTGTCTCCACGAACAGCTGACAGTATGCTGCGTCCTTTTCGTCGTCGGGTAGCCGCGCTCGGGACATTGCGATGTTGAAAGCAGTCATATGTTCTACAGGGTCACCGTCGGGTTTGTATTGCGGAACGCGCAGCTTCTCGATCTTGCGGAAGTTTACGCTAGTCAACGTACTGGTGAATGGGGTACGCTCGGTTGAAGCGAGAACACTCTCGATCTGTGGAGCGGCGCTAGTAACCTTGTGAATCGTGGAGCTCATCTGTTGGAGGTTTAGTTTGAGCTCGGCGATTTCACGGACAGTCGTGAGATCTGGGCCGACTTGAGCTGTTTCTGCAGCGTGCGGCTCGGCGGGTTCCGACTCTTCGGAGGTATGGTCGGCTACCGGCGCTGTCGGGTTAGTGTTGAAGAGATGACGTCGGAACGGTTGAGAGTTACTCGTCTGCCCGGCGGGAGCTGCTGTTAACGCTGCTACTAGTGCGGCGAGTTGAGCTTGAGTCTCCTTTTGGATTTCGTCTTGTCTGGCGAAACGCGCCATGACGGAGCTCATGAAGTCGGGCGGAAGTGGTGTTTTGGGTACGGGAGTCTGAGTCGGCTCCTCCTCGGCGGTTGCGGAGACGGTTCCGTCGTCTGGCATGTCTAGATCTGATAACGTTGCTTTGTTCAGAGCCCCACGGTGGGCGCCAAATTGTTTGAGGTGAAAATGGTTTAGAACAATGTAAAGAGTAAGATGGGGGCGAACAAAGACGTTTTTATTAGATCTGAACAAGGAGTTACAAAGAGAAGAGTAAAGAGGCGGACTAGCCGGAAATACAAGATGGAGAGTAAACGGGAAGGTGAGTAAACCCTAGATCTAACCACCTAGTCGCTAAGAAACCCTAGATCTAGCCGCCAAGTGAGTATGTCGAATTCCGGATCCCCTTTCCCTTTGCTGCCTCTCTCCTTTTATAGACCCTGCCTTTGTGTTCGACCTAGTTTACATGAGCCTTGTTGGGCTTGATTCTTATTAGGCCCGTTTAGTAGTCCGGGTAAGTCGTACTTCAGCCGACTCTCTTAGTCGCGCTACTAAACGTGTCTTATGCTGAGTCGTTTTGATGTTACCTGGTGCACCGAGTACATGATCGTGTTGGACTAAGTTTCTCCATTTGATGGGCCTTGCGGAGAGGTATAACCCATCTCCTACAGAGGTAATGTTATTTTAACATGATTTAATCGTTACACTTATATACATACTGCAATAGGGGACTATTTTACCGCTCTGCTTTAATAGTTATACTTTTATTTTTTTTTATTTTAATTATTATTATTATTGTTGTTGTAACTTTTTTGCAGTTGGATAGACTAAACGAGGCGATGCAGACAAAGCAGGACGAGGGAAGACAGTGTTGTAGTGATCAAGCGGTGGTAGCTCTAATTAGCACGGATCATGAATCAGCGAAGGAAGAGAACACAAGGCGTGGACCAGAGGAGGTTAGGCCGGAGATGGAGGTGTATGAGAAAGGTCATCAGGATAATGATGATGATGGGTACAAGAACAACAATAAGACAGAGTATTTTGGTGGGTTTGACAAAGAAGCTGATCACTTGATGAACATTGTGGGACCAGCTCCAGCTGATAGTTGCTTGACATCTTCTGATGACTGGGGAGGTTTCAAATCAGATACTAATCTCTTGGACCAATCTAACAGCAATTACCCTTGCTGGGATTTTTGGTCATGAACTATATAAGCTCTAAATGAACATATAAGATGAAGAGAAAATTACAATTCTGCATCACATGATATCGAGATGTTTGGTCTAGCAAATGACTCATCGCCAGCAGGAATTTTGGCAGGATTTTGAGCTCAAAACTCATGGTTTTTTCTGTATAAGTTGTGTTAGAAAGAGTAATTATATTCTCAGTTTGTCTTTATAATATCTGTTATAAATAGTAAGTACTCATCATACTTTGTAGCTAGTTATAAGTTTAAGACTTGTTTGGATGAATAAAATATCAAAGATCGAGAACCATCTATGTAATATATAGTGTGTGCAATCATTATGTAAAGATCATGGCACAAATAAAGTTGGGTTAAGTGACCAAACATTTGATATTAGTAACACGAGTGTGAAAGTTTGGTGCCTCTTGGGCAATCATGTTCTGGGCCTTCAATGGGCTTCGGGTTTCACCTGAAATAAAACACGAGCAACAATGGATTAGGACCAAGATCAATCAAGAATGTTATTCCCTATAGTATTTGGAGGAACCTTATTCCTTTTACTTATAGGAAATAGGAGGTCTTCTAGGTATGTATATAGGTCTTAGGTTTGTTGTTTAGATTACACAGAAACATATAATCTCTCTAAGAACACAAAAAGGCGTGTAACGTTTTTCGATTCATTAGTGAAACTAAGTCATCTCCGGTTTGGAGTTTGGACTTGCCAAAACACATTACGTTTGTTACAAGAAACCGTGATTGATTCTCTACAAGTGGTATCAGAGCTTAGGCTAAACAAGATCCAAGTACAGAGATTCAAAAGCAAGATTCAACAAGCAAGCAAGGAGAATTCTTATCTGGTGTGATATAGAAGACTCGGGCTCGTGGTATTTGAAGCTTGACGGTTACAGAGTGCTACAACAACCTGCAAGAAAGAAACAACGTTTACAAGTTAGATAGAGAAATGGAAGCGACTCCAAGAAAATTTGAAGTAGAGAAATTTGATGGGAAGGGAGATTTTGGTCTTTGGAAATACAAGATGCTGTGTCAGCTTGAAATTGTAGGTTAAGGTTCGGTCCTTAAGGAGAAAACTCCTTCTACTGACGATGATGAAGGTGGAGGACTGACAAACCTTAAACCTTATCCTAAGGCACAAGATCGGGAGCTGCGTACAAAGAATTTGATCAGTATGTGCCTATCTGATTTAATTCTTCGGAAGGTTATGAATGAACCTACAGCGCTTGATATGTGGAAAGCGTTGGAGGCTGAGTATCAGACAAAAACCCTACCTAATCGGATCTACATGAAGCAACGATATGCAGGTTTTAGAATGGAGGAACACAAGTCTATTGAGGAGAATCTAGACGTGTTTCTAAAACTTGTAGCTGATCTAGCAAGTCTGGATATCAAGATCAGTGACGAAGACCAAGCTATTCAGATTTTAACAAGTTTGCCTAAACAATATGAGTCTCTAGTTGATGCTCTCAAGTATGGAAGCGGCAAAGAGACTTTAACAGTCAGGGATGTTACAAGCTCAGCTTATTCAAAGGAAGTAGAATTAAGAGAGAAAGGACTCCTCAACAAATCTAAAGGTAACTCGGAAGGATTGTTTGCTGGAAATAACAGAGGCAGAGGCGATAGTAAGAATGATAAAACTTGGAGAGCAAGATCAAAGAGTAGGAACAGATCTCAGTCAAAGCCTAAGTTTTCTAAAGAATGTTGGACGTGTGGAAAGGAAGGACACTTTAAAAAGGAATGTCCAGAAAGAAAGAAGCCAGCAAACTTGGTTAACTTAGCAAAAGAGGAGGAGCAACCGTTGGTTTTAGTGGCAAGCCAGCAAGCCACTAAGGATGAATGGGTACTTGACTCTGGTTGTACATTCCATATCACTCCAAATAAGGATGTCTTATTTGATCTTGAAGACGTAGAAGGAGGGAAGGTTTTGATGGGGAACAATACTATCAGTGAGATCAAAGGAATTGGGAAGATCAGGATCATGAATGATGATGGTTCAAGTGTGATTCTCACTGATGTTCGTTACATGCCAACAATGGGCAGAAACCTTATTTCTTACGGTTTATTGGAGAAGATGGGATGTAGATATGAAGGAAAGAATTTCATGGTGCAGTTTTACAAAGGAGACAAGAAGGTCATGTCTGGAAAATACTGTGATGGTTTGTATTATTTACAAGGAACAGTACTAAATGGTGAAGCTGCAGTTGCAAGACCTGACATCGATTTAACTAAGAGATGGCACTCAAGACTCGGTCATATGAGTCTAAAAGGCATGAATATTCTAGTCAAAGATGAACACTTGAACGAGAAGGATATAAAGATGTTGGAATTTTGCGAAAATTGTGTTTTGGGTAAAGCACATAAGCTAACTTTTCCAAAAGGCAGACATACGTCTAAGGAAGTATTAGAGTACATCCATACAGACTTATGGGGATCACCATCGGTGGTTGAAAGTCTCGGAGGCTGCTATTATTTTGTTACATTCATTGACGATCTTTCGAGGAAAGTTTGGTATTATTTCCTAAAATCGAAAGATGAAGTGTTTCAGAACTTCAAAGAATGGAAGGCAAGCGTGGAGACTGAGACAGGAAAGAAGGTGAAGTGTCTTAGGACGGATAACGGATTAGAGTTTTTCAATACACAGATGGATACATTGTGCAAGGATGCAGGGATTAAAAGGCACAGAACACGCGTCTATACTCCACAACAAAATGGAGTATCAGAACGCATGAACCGTACGATTATGGAGAAAGTAAGGTGTATGTTGACAGAAGCAGGATTAGAACAGAAATTCTGGGCTGAGGCAGCTTCTACAGCTGTCTACTTAATCAACAGATCTCCAGGTTCAGCTATCAACTTCAGGTTACCAGAAGAGGTGTGGTCCGGAGCTAAAACAGACTTAAATCATCTAAGGAGGTTTGGATGTACGGCTTGTGTTCACGTGACTCAAGCTAAAACCAGTCCAAGAGCAATGAAAGGAGTTTTCGTGGGATATCCAAAGGGGACTAAAGGTTATTGGGTTTGGTTACCAGAAGAGTCAAGATGTACGATAAGCAGGAATGTGATATTTAATGAATAAGAAATGTTTAAAGACATAAAAGGAATCAGCGAGAAGAAGAAATCTAAGAGAGTGACATTTAGTCCAGTGATGATTCAAGGACCATCAAACACAACTACAGATGCTGAGACAGAGGATTCAGTTCAAGGTGGAGTTTCCTCTACAATAGAGAACTCGGGATCAGATTCCTCAAGCTCGGAAAGTGATAAAGATGTTTTGGAAGCTGAACAAGAGAATCTCGATAACTACATTCTTGCTAGAGACAGAGCAAGAAGGAACATAAAGAAACCGTCTAGGTTCGACGACTCTGATTGTGTAGCTTATGCTCTAGCTACAGCAGAGGAAATAAATATGGATGAACCTAAATCCTATTCAGAGGCAAGAAGAAGTAAAAACTGGAAGTTATGGAACGAAGGAATGCAAGAAGAGATGGATTCTTTAGAGAAAAATCAGACTTGGGAACTGGTTGAAAAACCAGAGAATAAGAAGATTATTGGTAGCAAGTGGGTTTTCAAGTTGAAAGAAGGCATTCCTGGAGTTGAAAAGCCTAGGTATAAAGCTAGGCTAGTAGCTAAAGGGTTTTCACAAGTGGAAGGAATCGATTACACGGAAGTATTTGCTCCAGTTGTGAAGCATGTGTCGATCAGAATTATGCTATCACTAGTTGCAAATTATGATCTAAATTTGGAGCAACTAGACGTGAAAACAGCTTTCCTATACGGAACATTGGATGAGAAGATTTACATGTCACAGCCAGAAGGTTTCGTTGAGGAAGGAAAAGAAGATCAAGTTTGTCTCCTGTTAAAATCCCTTTACGGATTAAAACAGTCACCAAGACAATGGAACAGAAGGTTTGATGCATTCATGAAGGAACAAGGGTTCAACCGAAGTGCATACGACCCTTGTGTCTACATGAAAGGTTCAGATCTATCTCATATGGTTTATCTCTTGATCTATGTTGATGACATGCTCATAGCATCTAAGGATTCTAAAGAAATAAATAGAATCAAAGATAGCTTGAAGAGAGAGTTTGAGATGAAGGACCTTGGAGCAGCTTCAAGGATACTCGGGATGGATATCATCAGAGACAGGAAGACAGGAACTCTAAAGCTATCACAAGGAAAGTATCTACAGAAGGTATTACAAACTTTTAACATGACCGAGAGCAAAGCTGTGGTTACTCCTATCGGACCACAATTTAAGCTTAAAAGTTTGACATGAGAAGAAGAAGTCATGGAAGCAAGGTTCATGAATGTAATATCCTACGCATCAGCTGTTGGAAGCCTAATGTACGCGATGGTGGGATCTAGACCAGACTTATGTTTCGCAGTAGGTCTGATCAGTCGCTATATGAGCAAACAGGAAGGCAACACTGGGAAGCAGTTAAGTGGGTATTAAGGTACATTAAAGGAGCTTTAGATTCAGACTTAATGTTTACTAAGGGAGACGGGTTCCGGGTTCAAGTGTTCTGCGACGCAGACTATGCAACCGATTTGGATAGAAGAAGATCGGTTACAGGGTATGTGTTTCAAGTCGGAGGCAACACTATAAGCTGGAGATCAGGTCTCCAACATATTGTTGCACTATCAACGACTGAATCAGAATACATGGCATTGGCCGAAGCTTTTAAAGAAGCACTATGGTTAAAAGGTTTTGTTACAGAGTTGGGGTTTAAACAAGACGATGTGAGAGTATTTTCAGATTCTCAGAGTGCTATACACTTAGCCAATAATGGAGGTTTCCATGAAAGGACTAAGCATATAGATACTAGACTACATTTTATGAGAGACGTAATTGAAGCTGGTGACGTTACAGTTCATAAAATCCATACATCTATCAACCCTGCGGATTTCCTAACTAAGTGTGTACCTGGAAAAAAGTTCGAGACATGTTTGGAGATCCTCAAAGTCCTGCCATAGTAGGTCTCGGGTGGCTGCAGGTGACAATGC